AACTAAAACTGTTTGCGGCTGAACCAGTCTTGAAACACCAGGACATGGATTCGGCATTTGTGGTCCAGGTGGATGCTAGTGATGTTGCAGTGGGGGCAGTATTGCTACAAGCAAATGCTGATGGAAAGCTACAACCTTGCGCCTACACCTCTCGGAAGCTGACTGATACAGAGAGATGATGGCCTATATGGGAAAAGGAGGCTTTTGCAGTCAGGTGGCTTTGATGATCTGGGGACATTTCCTGGAGGGGACTGATCACAAGAATCTGGAGGTGTTAAAGACCCCTTGAAAGTTATCTCCTAAACAGATGACATGGGCACAACACTTCAACAGGTTCGACTTCACTTTTAAGTATATCCCAGAGGGGAAGAACTTTATGGCAGATGCTTTATCCAGACTCCCTCAATACAACAGCTCAAAGCTTAGCGTAGTTCACCCAGTCATCTTGCTGCTCCGGTGGTCACCAGAAGCCAGAGCAGCTCTAATTTTGAAGGCACAAAGGACCTCGTCTTCAAATTCAAGGAGGGCATTGAGTCTGATGAATGGTTTAAACAGCATTCAAATGAGTGTACCATGAAACACGGTCTACCTTGGATAGGAGATAAATTGTATGTTCCTGCTGCCATTAGAACTTTGGTTCCTCAACGGGCCCATGATTCACGCATGGCAGGCCATTTTGGATTTGTAAAAACTCTGCATCTCATTAAAAGGCAATTTTGGTGGCCATCATTGAAGAAGGACATTGAATCTTATGTGGCCAGTTGCCCCACATGTGCTGCTGTGAAACGCCCACCAGGGAAACCCCAGGGCCTGCTCCAAGGCGTGGCCCATTCGGAGGCTCCGTGGAAAGAAATATCTATGGATTTCATTGTTGAATTACCAGAGAGTCAAGGAAATACTGTGGTTTGGGTCATTATGGACTTGTTTTCCAAACAGGTTCCTTTTGTTCCATGTTCCAAAATCCCGTTGGCTAAAACCTTGGCTAAATTGTTCATTACACATGTATATTGCCTGCATGGTATGCCAGACCACATTATCTCCGATAGAGGGGTCCAATTCACCTCCTTATTTTGGAAGGAGTTTTTGAAGTTGATTGGCTCTGCCCAGGGGCTAAGCTCCGCCCACCATCTGCAGACTAACGGAGTTTGTGAAAGGACTAATTCTGTTTTGGAACAGTACCTCCAATGTTTCATTAATTATCAGCAAGATAATTGGGTTAAGTTATTACCTCATGCTGAAGTGGCCTTACAACAACTCGGTGCACAGCAGT